CCGATGGACAATTTCGTCGTGGAGGATGTTGAAGCACATCGCCGTCAGGGCCATTCCTGACATTATGTAGCAGGAGCAAAACCAGACTGTCACGTTTCTCGAGTCGGCGAGGGTGTGGCGAGGATAAGAACCGGGCACCATGTCGCCGAAGCCGATAGTGCTCAGACTCATGAAGCAGAAATAGCTTGCATCTAAATGTGGAAGAAGCGGTAGCCGTTAGCTTTTAGAGAGTATAAACTTTATATATATACACACACACACACACACACACATATATATATATATCTACATATATCATGTTTACATATACTACACTGTATGTAATACGTCGCAGAATTTATACCAATCTGATACGGATACAGAAAAACGATCATGTTAATTTTTTTTTGAACACTTTGAGACTCATCAAATATACATTTATATTAAAAACTACTGAAATTCACGTTGATATAGATAACGCAACACTGAACACAATTTATGAAGTTTTTTTTTTTTCCGACACGAACGGAACTTACCTATGAATGACCAACCGTCCAATTTATGCAGAGTGAATGCTCCGGCAATGATGTAGCACAACATCGCGCCAAGGCAGATACTGATTGGTGCGAGTATGGTAACATTTGGTCTGTCGCCGGAGCCAAGACTCGAAACTTCGTCTTTCGGGCTGGCTTTAATTTCCACGGTGCTAGTGAACGTCGATGCATTCGCGCGAACGTAAAAGGGCTCCTGCAGCTGTAACTGTTGCTGCTGCTGCTGCGCCAGCTCCTCCTGCTGTCGCTTCTTTCTCATCCGTCGCTCTTTCTCCTACATATGAGAAAATATCCGAAAATGGAAAATCCGTTCATATCTGCATGTCAACACACGTGAATGACCGTTCTACATGTGTACCAATTACATTCGTGTTGCGTCGCAACACTTTCGAGTGAACGCCAACATCGTTTACACTCTTGTATTTCGAGTGCTGGGGATTTCGAAGGCTGATCCAATTTTATTTGAATAGCGCTCTAACAATAACCAATCAATGGTACGGCAGCGATTAATCCTTATCGATCGTCAACAGGACACGCGTATCCTGCCGACATAGGAGATGCATGTGTCGAGTCGATGCGACATATGCATTTCCCATCACGTATATCCAGTTTATTCAAAGGGAGGAAGACCGTATCACTGACGTCTGCGATTAAATTTTTTATCATCTAACGACGAACAATTTTCAACAAAGCGTGCCATCGCTAACCTGCATCCGCCTCTCATCGTAACAACAATAGCCGCAATTCGAACAGAGGCAGCAACAAAGAGCTCGTGTAAAAACGCCCCTGGCGCATCTCGACAGAAGACCTCCCGCACTAGACAGGTAGACCAAGGTCAAGGGTATCCCAAGGCTGGCGTAACCCATTGTAGCAATTTTGCCCCAAGTAGATTTCGGCGCGATACTTCCGCAACCTGTGAACAGAGAATAGAAAAGAAATTTAGGTTTATTAAGACGCCCGAAATCGATTAGATATAATCGGCAACAGGAAGTACATTGCAACGGTCATTTGCAGCGGTATTTAATTCCTTTTATGAAGAGAGTTTTAGCATACGATACCATAGCGATATTACAATGGAAAAGAACAGCGATAAACCCCGCAGTAGTTAATTTCTCGCAATGTTGGCTTGTTGGGATACTTAAAGGATAATATTCGCGGTGGTTTACTCACGCTAATTAACCGCTGCGGTAATAAGAACTTTGTGTAATGTGAGATCATGAGTAAATTGATTTGTGTAAATATGTGCACAAGACGCGACCACAGACACGTGTGTGCACATATGTATAATACGTGTATATGTGAATAAGCGCCTAAGATGAGCTTATATATAATACGGAAAATATTTCCTTTTCAGTGATTATTTCTGTTAGCGGGTTTAAAATCTTGAATAAAAAATCAAATTTATTATCGCCCCAGTGACTTTGCTCAGAAGTAATTCTGTGTGGCACAAGTTTTCTTATTATAATTCATATCCCGAATCAAAATTGATTAAGTTTTAGAAAATCGATATCCAGGTCAACACAAGGGTCCACACTCAGAAAGTTGGAACATAAAGCGTTTGTAAAAATTTGTAGAATTTCTTCGGTATCGTAAAAGCTTAAGTTTCGGCAAACGTCGATCAATCGTAATCTCCAAAAGCGATTCTCGCAATCGAGCAGCGGAATTTATAGTACGGCAGAAGCGTCCAATCGTTGCTATCCAGGGATGAATAAAAATATCTACGGTAAAAAAAACCTAACTAGAGTTTTTCTTCAATTTCGCAAAACAATCAAAAGCGTTATTTGATCAAGATACGAAGCTTTAATAAATTTTGACCCGTATCGCTGCGATGCAGGAAGAGAGACAAGCTACATTAAAAGACTATTTTTCCTGTTGCTGGATTTTTATAATGTAAAATTTATCTGATGACAGTTAATCATTATCTTGACAAGTTTGTAAGAGTAAATAGCGTTATACAATATATTGCCAGAGAGGAATGTCAATATTGTTGACATCTAGAATTATCTCAGTTATTTCGTCATAAAATTTTTCATGATACTACTGATTGAAAATTTCTCACAAAACAAATTATTAAAACGGATGATGCACTTTCTGTCATAAAAAATATTGACTCTCATGAAAATATACACATATATTATAGTTTAGTACATTTAGTATATCGTGCGTGTGTATGTGTGCGCGATAATAAATATCCATTCATATCTTTTAGTAAAATGCGATTTTGCTAAAAGAGGTGTACCATTTCAGAGTCATAAGACTTCATATATTTTCCAAGTATTTTTCTCATAAAATATCTTTTATTATATAAGAATAAAAAATGTCACTTGTATGCCAGCATATGTGCCAGCGCAATGTATCACCAAAAGCTTTTGATAAAATATTAACGTTCGTATGTTCTAAGTTATTTACATCGATTAATTTTATTATCATGACGCGAAAGTTTTGCGAAAGCAGAACAGCGGCAGCAGCAGCACCAGCAGCAGCTTTGAAACTCTACATTTTACATACAATCCTGATTATACACGATCCTTATTTTCCAAACAGAATAATACGTTAAGTATTGTGGAGCTATTTTATCGCCGACAAACAGCGTCATTAATCTCCGCAGAATAAATAGAAGAAGCTCATTCTTCCGTGGAAATGTAAGAAAAACGATACCTTTCCAAAAACGCGTGAGCTTTTAGCTCTCTCGCGGAGCTGCCGTATTTGCGCATCGTTCAATCCCAATCCCGACAGGTCGACCTTACGGACGAGCGATGGAAACAATATAGAAGTGCAATATGCAGTTTTGTGTGTGCGCGGGTTTCGCAAGTCAATCCAAAAAAATTACGTATACACGAGAATAAAAGGGACGGCAATAGAAAGAGAGTGGAAGAGAGCCGTTACAGTGCGCGAAAGTCCAGAGGGATCTGAAAAAGCGCTCGGCCGAGATGCGGCGCGAATCGATTGCTCGATGCCGCTTAAGATAATGGATCACCTATCGGAATTGCCCCTGGTACGTATATGATAGTGGCAGCCGGCTGCATCGTCGATGGAATTGCAGCCACGGAAACTCCGCGAACCATCCAGCGAAGGCCTATTCGTCATTGTCCTGCCACCTTATCGTTCACGACGGTGTGACCCTTTCGGTCGCACGTTATCTGTTGTCATTTGTTAGGGGACACAGTAGATTGTCAGCTTCAGTTTTATTGGCCAGTCGAGTAAAAATATACCGCGCTCAATCAGAGGAGAACAGCAGTGAGCTTTGTATTCGCGCGTATAGCTACCAGAGTATCTCGTTTCAAACTGTACGTCTGTACGTCTATAGAAAAGATATGAAATGACTTGGAACTTGTAAATAAGATTAAAAGGTGTCGCACATTAAATGTTGCATTTATATTAGCGCTTGTTTGCGTTATCTTATACGTTTTCATGATTACAATAACTTCTACAAGGATAATTATTAATTTGGATATACCAGCTAATCAACTATTGCGATAATAAGAACTTTATGTAATGTTACATTAAAAAATTGATTTACGCAAATATTCAATGTGCGTGTACGAGTAAATATCTGAGAGAAATTTGCTCAAAGGATGATGTAAAAACTAGTTCTCTCTGGTCTTACAATCATTTTTATTTTTGATAAAAAAAAATTTTAATACGGCAGCTCTCGCATCGAATCAAAGCACGAGGAAGAAATCGCTTCGAAAAGATATTGAAAACAATCCGTGAGATAACAATGAAACTAACGAAATTTTGATGCATCAATGACAATGCCGCAAAGCATTTTTTTGATGAGCGAATTTTTCAAACAAAGCTGATCCAATGTTTTTGTATTTTTCCAGCATTCATATTTATTCTGTGTATATTTCCCCACATGAGATATTTATATTGTTTCTCATGCAATCATACAGTGATTAATTTTTAATCTGTTGAAAGATCGAACTTTGAATTGATACATTTTTTTTTTATATGTAACACAACATCAGAGTCGACGTATGATTTACGGATAAAAAATATGCGGCTCCTAATCGTGTGTTGTTTAATAATTAAATACCATCTGTCACGACGTGTTGCGATCTAGTTTCTGAAAAGTTTATATTTTGTTACAATGAAATCGAATGACAATCCGAGGATTAAATTCTGCGATAGAAATTCAGTAGTAGCATAATCTCTTTGTAATATAAAAGTAATACAACATCTGGGTCGTTTAAAGATGGTATCAAGAATAATAAATCAAATAACCGTATCTCATCTCACTCGAAGCAACAGCTCAGACCAACCAAACCGAAGGAACTAGTGGGAGAGGAATACCGACGTATGGAACAGTAAAATTTAATTATCAGTTAGCAATAACATGCGCCTGCTGAGTTACTCATTCTCAGCCGGCGGTCGCGTACACGCATCTACATAATTCTAACCATGTCAATTTGATTGTTGTTCCATATAAAGGCACCGCCCTCGTTAAACCTTACCTCAGTCTTCGTGATGCGCTGCAAGCGCAGTGATTTTAAAATCTAACGAAATATTGTGTAATGTGAAACGTTTTACACGTACAAACAACACTCGAATATTTTATACAATTCCATTTGACCTGATTCGGCCATCATTTTTTACAAAATGATAGTGAACAATGTAATAACTATTATTTTTGTCGTCATAACTGGAACAGCATTCTTGCGATGTGCATTTTCAACAGTAAGTTTATTATGTCGACATAGATTTTTAACATTTTGACAAAAATATTACAATACTAGAAACAATATAGCGATTATTTTTTAGATATAAATATAATTTCGATAATCTGTATAAATAACTAAAGCAGAGAAAATTGTTAAAATTTGTTAAATTTAAAAAATTATGTATTATATTATATTAATATTTTATATTGGGTAAAATGTAGTAATAATTTGACTTCTTTCATTTTCAGGGCAAATATCATACAAAATTAAAAATAGAAGTAAGTGAAAATATAAGTCTCTTTCAAAATTATATGATAATCTTAAAATGGGATAATAACAAAATTGTATACATGAGTTTTATTTGTTATAATATAATTATCTATTTCTGTTATATATCGTAAGTTAGTATAACGATAAAAGATGTTTTTGATTGAAGGCAATTGGATACAAACCAAGTAATGATGTTCTACTACATTCTCTTTCGGACTTCGGCGTCGTACGAAGATCTTTGAATCCGATGACGTTCAGACAATATAGCAATAACTATGAGTATCAACTAACAAGTGATAAAAATGTTTCAAATGGCAAAACTAAAAAGTATGCAATAATAGAGAATTTAAAACTGTCAGTGACATTCCGTGATAACATACTTTATATCTTCTCGTACTTGCTTTACGGCCGTGAAAACAATTTGACGGAAGAACAATATACATCCTTGGAAACGCTTTATGAATTCCTCAAGAAGAAAATGGTTTATATGTACAATTTATTACCTATTTTACTTACATTAGACATCGCAGATAAAAATCAACAGACAAGTATCGTATTGTCATCGCTGATAAAAAATCTACCACCTTATATTCGATGTACGGCTAAATACTTAGCCACTGAGATAGAATGGTACAGAATTGATTTAAATACTTTACTAAAACCAACAAAATCTGAGACGTTCGATTATCTTACCGACATTGATTTAAATACGCTCTCACCAAGTAAAATTAGAAACGAAGAAATGATAGGATACGATGAAAATTCAAATATCACCCAGAAAGCTCTTGGTCCAGTGTTTGTCAAGCTTATTTATAATTTACAAAGAAGAAAGCTATCTTTGTCGCAAGAACTATTCGGTTTGATACTGATAAACTTACCAAACTTTAGCGACGATCCCGTACTGGAAGAAAACGTCAGATATCTGTACGATCTAACAAGAAATAATATCATCGATAGTAATGATTGGGATTCAATCGGGAAAAATCCCGTTGGCAATGACGCTTATACACTTGTTTTTTCTGTCTTAACCAAAATTCTTAATTCAAATATACAAATGGTTATAAAGGATTCTGCGTCTTACATATATCATCACTTGAAGATTCCAACGGTTCCAACTTATCTTGATTCCAACTTAAAATATATGCATCATTTACTGGAAAAAGATATAGATATAGGAATGCTGCTCTCTGCCGTTATTCCTCAGGAGTTTGATGAAGATACTATTCGTATGAAAGATCGTTTACTAACATACTTCGTACGCAATTATAGAAAGGAGGATATGACTAAAACTCTGAAGGGATTCAACAAATTTGCCTACAATAATCCGTTAGATCTTTTATTGGCATTCCTAGTAAGACTTATAAATCGCGTTCCAAGCTCTCCAAATACTAATTCAGTACAACAGCCGGCTTCAGCTTTGCTATCAGCTGTATTCATGAAAAAGTATTCTAGAATTTTCACACCGTTTGTGTCACCCGAAATTGATGTATTGATACTTTTAGAATCTGTGCAGGTCTCTGATGTGGATCAAATACTTCAGTCAACAGTAGATTCCATAAAACTTGAGTTAATTTCACAGCCAACACTATCTGTGCTTCTGAGTACCTTAATACCAACGGAAAAAGAGAAGTGTGAGGTACCAAAACAGTGTTTGGTGAATACATTCCAGCAAATACCGAAATTACAAAATAATATATCCTTGAATTTGACAACAAAAATTCAAAACGTAGCGTATATTCTGAAAACAATTCCACAGCCTCAGCAAATAAGAGAAAGTCATGTCGCACAATATTCCATAAAACCAGTAAATGTAAATCTCTATCTAGATCGGGATCAAGACCGGGAAAATTCAATAGCAATGGCAATAAAAACAGATAATATGTATAGAAATAATGTGCCTTCAGGTGGCATTAACGGAGTTTCGTATGTATGGAATATAGATAAATATGTTGATAAAACTGGTCCCGCTGGACAAAATGAATTGCAAGTTAAAACTGTAGAATGGGAAACGGGAATTCCTACAGAAATCGATTCTACAGAATCAAAGATGGTATCGCCAACGATAGATCAAGTGCATATCACAGAGACAAAAGTCACCAAACCAAAAGTTAGTCAGCCAAAAGTCAGTCAGCCAAAAGTCACCCAATCAAAAGTCAGTCAGCCAAAAGTCACTCAGCCAAAAGTCACTCAGCCAAAAGTCAGTCAGCCAAAAGTCACCCAGCCAAAAGTCACCCAGCCAAAAGTCACCCAGCCAAAAGTCACCCAGCCAAAATTCAGCCAGCCAAAATTCAGCCAGCCAAAAGTCATCCAGCCAAAAGTCACCCAGCCAAAATTCACCCAAACACACGTCACTGAACATGACCATACTCAAGAACGATTATCGGATCTTATCGATACGATACCATTAACTTCGAAACCTTTAACGACATTCATGTCTGATGTTCCTTCTTTGGGAACTTATTATCCGACGAAGAAACCGCAGAAAAAGCAGCCGCGATACACAACATTTACACCGATAGAGCGTGTTGTCGACGATAGTAATCCCAAAGTAGAGGAATATATATATATTCCGTCAAAAGTAAATTACGATGAAAAAGAATCACCGAGTAAAGAAAGTGAAGATCAAACTTCTTCATCGGAAGAAATAATTAAAGAAGTCACAACAAAGAAACCTACTAAAACAAAGCTAATTCAACATACTAAATCACCATTATTAAATAGCATTGAAAGAAAAGTGCATTCCGAGAACGTCGTATCAAGTGCGATAGTATTACCTCCGTCTATAGAAATTGATCAGCCTCTTAAAGTACATCTATTTGATAATAACGTCCCAGTTGTAACGACGAGTGATGATTATAATACAACGAAACCTGAAGTCGTTTTACCAGATATCAAGGAACTTCTAAAATCGCCGGATATAGATAAACTCATGCAAAATAGCGATTCACCAATAGTAACTCAAGTGTTACAACCATTGTCTATTATATTTGGTAAAAATTATATTAAGAAAATCCTGAAAAATATGGATATGAAACATTATCCCACAAATATTGCATTATTGTCAGCAATACTTAAAGAAGCCCTAACTTATCCGGAAGTAACACAGAATTCGCAATTGACGAACGTAATTAATCAATATATTGTCACTATAGAATATGTGAGTCCAACGACATTATTACCCGTCGTAGTTTCGTCAAAGAAGTTGGTATCAGATGTTATATATTCTACGTTTAATCCGAATGACTTAACCCAAGGTAAAATTAGCGAAAATCTCCCTGATGAATCATTACCCGACAGTATCACTGTACCTCTCATCAATCCTAAGATATTGTTAGAATCTGTAAATCCATCTAATCCTTACGTTGATCTGCTGCCTACTTTGGAAAAAGGAAATATATTTGCGAAAACAATACAGCCTATCAAAATGATTTTCACAATTGAAAAAATTAAGGAAATACTTGGACCAGATTTTCAACCATTGGTGTATCCAAATAAAATTACACTTCTGATAACGCTCTTGCGCAAGCTACAGAAAAGTAAAATAATTCAAGCAAATGCAAAACTGAAATCCGCAATTGATTCTTATTTACAAGCTTTCGAACAACCGTCGATAAGCATGCAAGTATCTGAAGATAGTTTCGTGTACATGAAGTCTGACACTACAGGTCAGTGGTTACCTGAACTGACGAGTTTGATTTCTGCTCTTCCAACACCTGAGACCGAAATTGAAACGACGATGATAGAGGAGATAGAGCAATATCTCGACGATCCAACTCTTTGGGAAAAATTAAAAATAGCTAAACCACCAGTAACCATGTCTCGCGGAGAACTATTGCATGAAATTATTCGTATTTTATTGTCCGGTACAATAAGTATCGACAATAGTATTCTGAAGGCATTTAGATATTACAAGGACAAAGTAGAATTCATCGATATGGGTGCTCTGCCCATCGTGTGGATGTGGGTCGAAATGTACGTATTTAAGGCTGAAGTACAACTAGGAGACATGATTCAGGAGACGGTGAATTTCGATCAATTGTCGTATAAAGAAAAATTAGCGTATAATGATATAATAACATACCTAGCTCAAAATTCTAATCTTCTTCAAAACAACGAGGACTTCGATTTTGAAAAGTATAAAACACAAGGGCAGTTTGTTAAGGGTTTATTCACATATTTGCTGAAGAAACTAGAAGTCAATAAAAAGATTAAAAAGGACATTAAAATGATACTTCCACACGTGACGGAGACTGGAGCAGGCGCAATCGCGATGCCAAATTTATCTGGATTTTAAAAAATATCGGATATGTATTAATTAAAATCTAATTCACTAATTGAAGGGCTCTAATTAAAGCAATTTGATCTGAGTTTAATAGAAACAGAAAATAAGTACAGATATGTCTCACAAAACAAGTGTGTGTTTTATAATAAAGAACTCGAAGTATTCTTTATAATAAACAATTTACTACATTAAATATTGGCTCATAAAGTTTTTAATATTGCATATTGTGCATGCAAAATCGATTATATAATTTAAGATTGTGAAAAATGACACATGTAACTGTCTGCTTGGCATAATTTGTAAAAGAAAGAAAAAAATAGAAATAGAGAGAAATTCTGAGAATTTTATATCTATTTGTTAAGTTAAATAAAAAGGCTTATAGTAATTTTGTATTAAATTATCATCACAGTAGACCTCCGTTATTGATAAAATTGACAAAGAGTTCTCCACAAGTTTCAGATCGATAGTCTTCCAATAAGTGACAATCATTCGTAAATTCTCGTTACATGACAATCTAGAACACTCGAAAGTTTATACACTTTAGGAAGACATTCAAAGCATTTCCCCAAGTCGAATCTCTACTTCCTTTCAATCCTTACAATTACTGATATAAATACACATATATAGAAAATTAATTCTTTCCTAATTTCTTATTTACAGTTCTAATTTATGAATATAATAACTTATGTTATATAACTATAATTATATTTAATTAATTTATGTTGAAGTACACGAATATATACATGAATAGATACAATAATTCGAATAATGCAATTCCAATCAATAATGTTCTAAGAACCTAAGTCAATATTGTGTCTGTCGAGATAATTTGTGGCCAACACTTTAATATAACGTAGATACTTGCAACAAGTAAAGTTCGCAGCAGTCGGCAGTATGCGGCATTGCTACGTCTTCGTAATGTATTCTAAGTAGCCATAACAGTTCGGCAAGTAAAATGAGTTGCGTAAGAGAAAACGATTGGCGAAACTTCAACTCTATTCGTATTTGTTCGTTAATTGCTTTATCCGAGAACTTCGAACTGCCGTCTAGAAGCATACTGTAATAACGTAAGCGTCTTAAAGCATTGCGGTACGCTAAAAAATGAAATCTCATTAATATAAATAATTATAAAAGTTGTAGAATTAACTGATACCGCGCATATTTTATTGACCTGATTCCTTTTTCTACTGCCTTCAATCTTTAATTCGCAGTTTCAGAATATTACGAACGTTATTATTTTTACAGTCTAATGAAATCTCTGCACACCGCATTATGCATTCAAAAATGGACGAAATAAAAGCGCATACAATTTTTTTAAAATAAATAGATACGCGGGTCGATGTAACGAGGTGGCTTCGTCGCAATAAAAATGGAACAGACACGTGACACGCGAAGCGGAACGAAACGAGAAACGGAAGCGACGGAGGGATTATTTATTTTGCACGGCGACCGCAATCCGCGGGGATATTTTCCGCGAGACGCCCGGCCAAACTGTCTGGAAAACGAGGAAAAATTACATCGGTGAAAAATAATAAAGTGTGATCCAGTTCCAGTCGTAGGCTGTAAGCGGTATGTATGTACCTGTTCCAAAAGACAGCGGTGATGATAGAAACAATTGGTAATTGAAAATAGCATCGATGCCGCGATAAACATGATAAGAAGAAGATTAATTGATAATTATTCACGGATGATGATTTACCTATGTACATAAATAATAAAAGAAGTTGTAAAATTAATTAATAGATAAACAGCGCGCGTTATAGAATACCTAATTTCTTTTTCTATCGCTTTAATTCGCACCTTTGGAGTATTACGAACATTTTTACATTTATATAAATCGTTTAAATAACTATATTTATGTATTTCGACTTTTTACATTTTACGTACATTATTGGAGAAGTACGAACGTTCCACATAATGAGTATCATTGAAACTCATTGCTTTTCATCACGTGGCACTTCGGTCACGTCAGAACTTTCGTCGGCGAAGACAACTTAAATTGAAGCGAATATCTCGGATATTGTTGTTCTTATCGCGCAAAAAGAACAGTAATTTCCAACTCGCAATTGAACTAGCTTGCCCGCGTCTACGTCAACGTCACGAATCCGAAAACTCTAACCGTCGTAAACATCCTAAAACGGAGATATTTCGTCGGGCAATCCTGTTCACGCCAACTTATCGCGTAACACCGTTTCACCTGTTTAATTTAGCGCCCAAAATAATTTACATACGGCAGAACGAGGGATGGGCTACGCTCGCGCAATAACATCTCGAAGATGAGCCGTGTGCTGCGCTAGGCGGATGCATCGTACGTGCAGACGTGTATTCCGGGGAGGGTTGCACACCCATCCTCTGACGGTACGTCTCCGTACCCGACGACGTTCCTGCTAGAGGGTTCCTGGGATCCGACATAACCCCCGAGGTCGTAACGGTAAGTCTCTCGGCGTGAGGACCCGAAATTAATAACGCGACCCGGCGCAAATACGGCGCACATAATTAAAGCGATATTACGATCTGGAGCAGCCGCAGTATCGTCTACCGGCGCTGCCTGCGTCGAAGATGTTATTTAGCCGCTCTCTCCGAATTTGGGTGTCGAAAGCACAGGTATTACGTTCTGATTCGCAACTTGCTCGCGGCTCATCGAGAACCTGATTAAGCGGTATGTATGTAAGACAACAGAAATCAGTGGATACTTGGTTGTAAATAATAAACAGGACAAGTAGACGGTTTGCGCAAACAAAGAGAATTAAGTTGGAATAAGACATGGTTAAAAAATATCATTAAGGTATCAGCAAAATAATTTATTATTAATTTATTAAAGGAAATGAGATATAATTTTAATCGAGCCTCTCTGGTAACAAAATGCAGTCATTTTCATAAAGGGGAGTTACAGGAAGTATCTCAAGACATATAGGACGTGCGTGACAGTAATCGCAAAGACGACAGACTTGGTAAGAGTCTGCTAGAGTAAAGTAGGTCATGATACGAACGGTACGTTTAGGGTGAACGAGACAAGAAGAAAAAAATAACTAAAAGAAACAAGAAAAACGTTAAAGGATAGAAGTATTAAGATAGAAAGAGAAAGGAAGCAATGACTCTCAAGTTTTATCTTTCGGAATCTTTTTTCTACTAGCAGAAAGATTTCGAAGTTTTACGAAATGCAGGTGAAAGTTCGTATATCTTTTTGAGAATCGAGAATTAAAGCAAACGAGATACATATTCAAGCTAAAATTATGGAAAAATTCCGACGTCATTTCATCTTTTCTTGTGTTTTTAACAAAACGCGAGACCATCTTATAAAAGATATCTAAATAATCTAAGATAATCAACCGTGATGTATTATCTTCTTCGCGGATTATATGTATTTCTTATTCAAAGATGCTCGCCATTGAGAGTCGCTGCGTTAAGAGACAAGGTGCAACCCTGATGTATGGGATACTCCTCCGCGGGTGTTTCTACACTGCAGCACCGTGCAGGGAAATGTTACCCTATAAAATATATCTCGAGCGTTGGCTTATGCCGCGCGAAACCCAGCAAGATGTTTCTATTTCATAGAAACGCTCGTCTTCCGGCTTAGCAGGGCATGTGAAGGGTAGCATGACGAAAGGCCAGGACGTTGATAGGGCTAGACTGTAAATCACACGAGAGCTATTCGATGTCTAGCTACGTCCCGCAATTCCGTCCAACGAGTTTGCTAGTACTACTCAACGTTATCACACAGATTTTGTCGAGGGCAGAAACGGGATGTTTCAGGCGACAGAGGCTTTAAGCGAGAGGTCCTTCATGCGTAATGTATCTTCTTTTTCTTTCCCTGCTGCAATTGATATGTTCGAAGTAGCTTTAAAAACAGTAGATGTGTCACGTACGTACAAGCTTTGGAAAAATATTCTGGAATTATTATTGAATAAAAAATATTTAAACATAACATAATATAATATAGTAAAAGTGAAATAATACAGGTATAAGTATAAAAATATGAAATATATTTAAATTAATTAAAAATTCCATTTAACTACTGTGTATCATAATGCTATGTCAATAGTTTCGTGAAATCACTGCAAGAAGAAGCAAGTTATATCTATGTTATAGAAGCATAAGCCGACTGGTTGCACAGGGACAACGAGGTAAGGGAATAAGGACGCGATAGAGACGGATCATAAATCACGCACCAACCATTCAATGTGGCGTGCTATATTGTGTGCTACCTCCGGGAGATATCGTTATCATATAGTGATTCTCATAGCAAGAGAGAGCAGTGTTTTATGAATAAATGCACTGAAATAAACAATCGACTTTTATGTAATTAAATTATTTTTATATTTATCGAGTCAATGGCAACGTGTATAATTCCATTTATTCAATTCTTGTTATTATCCGCGCGAAGATATACTACCGCGTAACAAAGTTATGAGTAAATACGAATAACAAACACCGTTCGATATGAGTGTAGTAAACTTTGACATATTGAACTCTCTCTCGGGACAGTCATGTGCATCCGTAAAATCCTAAACAACGTCGTTATTTGTCCCTTCCCTTCATCATAAGAAGCTTATTTATCCGCTGGTCCATCATCCTCTCACGATAACATTTCCTCTTAGCTTTAACGCCTCGCAGTATGAAGCGACGGCGAGGATCTCGTAAAGTGCACGAAAATTCCACGGAATCCTGGAAAAATTTATGGTCCGGATGTTTACCAACATGGAATTCTCTCAGGTACTCCCGGACAGTATGGGATAGTATAGAACTACCTCCTTTTGCCCTCGCCACTCAGGGGGTGGCTATTAGTAGTAATTACTGAAGCAATAAGTCTCTGCCTAATACTTCTCTCCTCCGACCTTTCATCTTTGCTCCTAGAGACGCTATTGTTGCTCCACTTTTGTCGCTTTTCCAGAGTGTATAAACCATCCTTCTTTATTTTCGTGTAAACTTTCTCTTATCCTCATTTCGAATTATTTGACTTCAAATATGTATAAAGTAAAGATAACTTTTACATATTTTATATAATAATTTTCGGAAGAATTGCATGAATGCAACATAAATTCTTAATTCTGAAAGTACAACATGACTGAATGAGTAACGTGAAAAGCTTCAACGCGTAAAATATTTCGAAATTTTGCTCAGAAAATACTATATTGTAAGTATGTACACACACACACACACACATATATACATATAAAGAAAATATTCCTAATAA